ACGATGAGTGCGTCCGACGCCGCCCAAGCGGTGGTTGCCGTGTTAGGCGAGGAGAATAACCCTCAGCTGCGCGAGCGGGCGCTGGCAGTGATCGACCGGAATGTGGACAACGGTTGGGCGGCTCAACTCGACAACGCCACCCTGCAAGAAACGTTGAGGGCGATGGTTCATGATGGTGAAGCGTCACCACAGGCATTGGACTTCATCGCCCGGCATCATCTCGACTTCCTTGGCAATGAGGTGCTTGCGGTTTGTCAGTCGGATGATGTGGCTGACGAGATTCGCGCGAAGGCCATCGATGCGGCCGTGTCGCTGCAGCTTGCAGAGGCCGGCAGTGCGTTGGCCCAATTGATTTCAGAGGAAGAATCTAAGCAACTACGGCTGGCTGCCGTGCGGGGGTTGGTGCGACTTCAGGCCTGGGCTGAGGTTGAGAAGTTGTTTGCCGCATCGGCAGAGTCTGCGGGCGAATTGCAGCAGGCGACGGTCGACGCGATGTTGGAAACAACCGACGGGGCACTGGTCTTGCTGCGGTTGGTGAAGAACAACCGACTGAATGATGGACATCGCGATAAGGCGATCGCCCTGGCAGTGACGCACCCCGACTCGAACGTGCGGGTGTTGTTCGAGTCGTTTCTGCCCGAGGACCAACGGCCTGTGCGGTTGGGTAGTGCGATCGAGCCGGAGAAAATTTTGGCACTCGAAGGCAATGTGGAGCGGGGTCGCGAGATCTTCTTCCGCAGCACGGCGGCCCAGTGCAATAGTTGCCATGCGATCGATGGGGTAGGCGGAACGGTGGGCCCCGACCTGAGTCAGATTGGCCGCAAGTACGAACCGGCCGCGCTGCTGGAAACGATTCTCGAGCCTTCGAAAGCGATCGGACCCGAGTACGTGGCGCACTTGCTGGAGACCGACGCCGGGCAGGTGTTCGTGGGGTTCGTGGTCGAACAATCGGAAGATGAACTGGTGCTGAAAGATGCCCGCGGGGATTTGATTCGCACCCCGGCCGACGAAGTGGTGGCGCTTGAGCCGCAGAAGAAATCGCTGATGCCCGAGTTGGTGCTGCGCGACGTGACCGCCCAAGACGCGGCCGACTTGCTGGGCTATTTGTCGTCGCTGAGAAACTCCGTGCAGCATGCGGGGAAGTTGCGGATGGTGGGACCGTTCTTTGAAAAAGAAAAGACACAGCTCAATTCGAAGTTCGGTCCCGAGAATGACTCGCAACAGATCGACCTGGCGGCCGGTTATCAGGACGGGGGGTGCACTCGCCACTGGCAGGCGGTCGACGCCACACGGCGCGAGGCACCTGGCGGGAGCGCCGTGAACGTGTTCGATGTGGAGGGGTTCCGTGCTTCGCAGCGCGGAGGCGATGAGCAGGCCGTGTTGTATGCGGGTGGGTTTGCCGATAGCGCGGCAGACCAAGATGCGACGCTGCTGGTGGGTAGCGATCTTCCCTTTGAGGTGCTGGTGAATGGCCAGCGGGTTCATCGCCGCGGCAAGCGCGGTTCTACCGATTCATTCGAGCAGGTTCCTATCCATCTGGCCGCCGGGCGGAATGTGGTGCTGATCAAACTTCTGCACGGCAAAGGCAACGCCGGAGTGGCCTTGGCCATCGAGAGCAACGCCAACGTACAGTGGCGAACCGAGTAGGGCGTTCTGCCGAGGTAGCGAATTGGGTGCCACGGAAATGCGATTTTCTGCCGAAATGGCAGGCAGTTTTTGCGGCGCAAGTCGCCCCAGAGGCTGCACTTTCGCCATTTTTTCTTCCGTCGGCGAAACACTCGGGCTATAAGATAAGTAACGGCAATTACTTACAAGCCATGGCCAGACAACCGGCCGCCCGAGTGCCGGGATTGGCATTTGAGTTGCTGTACTGAAGAGCGTGCCGCCGATTGATTCTCTTAGTGATGGGAATCGCCCTCGGCGGGGGAGAGATTCGATGCTCGCAACACCTCCAACCGTGCTGATCACCGACGACGATCTCGGCTTCCGAGAGACGTTACGGTCGGTCCTCGAACCCGAGGGGCTGCAGACGGTGTTGGCCAGCAATGGCGAAGAAGCCCTGGACATCATCAAGCGCCAGGAAGTGCATCTGCTGCTCTCAGACATGCACATGCCGAAGCTGACCGGCCTGGAGACCATCCGCCGAGTGAAGGCGATGAAGGCCGTACTGCCGTGCATCCTGCTGTCGGCCAATGCCGACGCTTCGCTGGTGCGACAGGCGCTACGGATCCAGGCATTCTCGGTGCTGCCCAAGCCCGTCACGCGTCGTCAGATAACGACGATCGTGAACCTGGCCCTGCTGGGCACCTACAACTGGCCGCTGTTGCTGCGACGCACCTAGTCGCAACTTCAATAAAGCGTGGCTTGACTCGAACGAGGACGCCACGAATTACTCGCCTGGCTGTGGCGGTCGCGAAGTAGTCACTGCTGGACAAGCCAGCACTGGCACCCACGTAGGGCGTGGAAACCGCTCTGGTTCTTGGCCGCTCTAGTTGGCCTCGCCGGCTTGAGGGGGCTTCACCGATACATCGGCCGCAGGGCGTTTGGGTTCGCTGAGGGTTCCCGGCACGATTACGGGGCTGCCGGAGTTTTCTTCGACGATCTCTTTGAGTTCGTCGGCGTCGATCACTTCCTTTTCGATCAACCGCTTGGCGAGGGCTTCCAGCGAATCGCGGCGGGAATCGAGGATGTGGCGCACCTTCTCGATGCTCTCGTCGATGATTCGCCGCACTTCCTGGTCGATCTCGCGAGCGGTCTTCTCGCTGTGGCTGCGTTCGCGGGGGCCATCGCCTCCGCTGCCGGCGAGGAACTGGCTGCCGTTGCTCTCGCGGTAATTCACGCGGCCCAGCCGGCTCATGCCGTAGTCCATCACCATACTGCGGGCGAGTTCGCTAGCACGTTCCAGGTCGTTCTGGGCACCGGTCGATACATCGTTGAAGGTGATCTCCTCGGAGAGCGTGCCCGCCAGCAGCACCTGAATGCGGCTTTCGAGTTCGGCTTGGGTCATCAAGTAACGGTCGCCCTCGGGACGCTGCAACACGTAGCCCAGTGCGCCGAGTCCACGGGGGATAATGGAGACCTTGTGCACGGCATCGGTGTTCGGCAACGAGTAAGCGACCAGGGCGTGACCGCTTTCGTGGTAGGCCACACGTTGCTTCTCGTCCTCGTGCATGATCCGCTGCTTCTTTTCCAAGCCCGTGGTTACACGTTCGACGCCTTCGTTGAACTCTTCCATTCCCACGGCGTCTTTTCCCTTGCGGGCGGCAAGCAGTGCGGCTTCGTTCACCAGGTTGGCCAGATCGGCCCCGACGAAACCGGAGGTAATCGCCGCGATATGCTTCAAATTCAGGCCTTCGGCCAGCTTCACGTTTTGGGCGTGAACCTTGAGGATTTCTTCGCGACCCAAGATGTCGGGCCGGTCGACCAGCACGTGGCGATCGAAACGACCGGGGCGCAACAACGCCGGGTCTAGCGTTTCGGGGCGGTTGGTTGCTCCGAGAACGATCACACCGCTGTTGGTGTCGAAGCCGTCCATTTCGACCAGCAGGGCGTTGAGGGTTTGCTCACGCTCGTCGTGTCCACCGACAACGCTCGAGCCACGGGTTTTGCCTAGGGCGTCGAGTTCGTCGATGAAGATGATGCAGGGTGACTTGGCTTCGGCCTGTTGGAACATGTCGCGCACGCGGGCCGCACCCACGCCGACGAACATCTCGACGAAGTCGGAACCCGAGAGACCGAAGAACGGAACGCCGGCTTCTCCCGCGATGGCTTTGGCGAGCAAGGTCTTTCCGGTACCAGGAGGGCCCACCAGCAGAACGCCCTTGGGGATGCGACCGCCAAGGAGTTGATATTTTTCAGGCGTACGCAGGAACTCGACGACTTCGCGGAGTTCTTCTACGGCTTCATCGATGCCTGCCACGTCTTCGAAGGTGACCCCGATATCTTCCTGGGCGTACATCTTGCCGCGGCTGCGGGCGAAGGCCATCGGCGAGCCGGCTCCACCGAGGCGACGCATCATGATGAACAGGAAGAACAACACCAGTGCGGTGATGCCCAGCATGGCGAAGTACGAATTCCAACGGCTGTCGGCTTCGTCTGCATTCCAATGGACGAACCCGTTTGCTTCAAGCAGGTTCTGTAGTTGGCCACCATCGTCGGCCACGCCGAAGCGATCGGTGATGAAGCGAACTTCGGCCGGTTCACGACTGGCGCCGGTACCGTCGTTCAGCACGTGTTTGGTAACACGGCCGGTGATGCGGTGTGGGCCGACCACGAGGTCTTGGTCCGAGAGATTCGAGTACTCGACCACCTGCTGGGCGTTGGGGGGGCCCGACTTGATGGTGAGGGTCTTGGGATCTTCTTGATCGGCGGGGTTCCCGAGCTTGATGAGTTGCAGGAAGTCGCCGTAGCTGATTTCGTTGCGGCTGCCGTTGGTGAGGATGCTGATGAGCACCACGGTGAGAATGCCGACCCCGGCCAGATACCATATGGCGTTACTGCCGAGGGGGTTTTGTTTGCGATCGTTCGAACGAGGAGAATCGTTGCGGGGTGAGTCGCCCATATGCTCTGTTTTCCGTGATCTGCTCCCGGGGACGAAGAATATCGCCGCCAGGAATCGGCCTTCGTGTACGACGCCGCGGATGGGCGTTTCGACCCAAGCAGGGTTGCGGGGCAGAAGAATGCCGCGAACCTACCCAATCATTCCATCGTATGAGCGAAGTGGGAAGTGAACAACGCTCTGCCCGCGAAGATGGGCGGTTTCTGCCTTGTAGCGGTCGCTCGAGCGGCGCTAGAATGCGCGGCGCGTTTGGAAACTTCGCTACAGCCGGTGCTGTGGAGCTTTCTGCTGCGCTGTGGCTGCGGTAGAGTTTGGTCGCCGGTTGGGCAATGATTCGGCCCTATTACCCGGGCAAAAGCGTACAATAAGGGAACGTCGATCGCCTCGGGCCCCGTGGATTCAACGATGGGCCTGCGGAGATTGGCGATGGTTTGTGTGGGGCATGATTGATGCTCCGCTAATACGGATTGCCTACCCGCGAGCGAGGGGGGTGGTAATCGACAGTGGCGGCGTTTGGTTTTTCAGTTCCGTTGCAAACGGCGATTATTCTTCTCTCATGACCGCCCCTGAAAACAACAGCAACGAGAACGCGGCCAAGAACATTGCCGTGCTGGGTTCGACCGGCAGTATCGGCACCAGTGCCCTGGAAGTGATCGAGGGGGCTGAGGGCCGTCTGCGAGCCGTAGGGCTATCGGCCCACCGCAGCACGCAGCTACTCGAACAGCAGGCCGCTCAGTTCGCTCCGGCGTGGATAGCCGTAACCGACGAAGAAGCGGCCTCTGGACACAACTGGGACCGCCTGTGCCGGGAGGTGGAGTGCCTGGTAGGGCAAGACGCGCTGGAGCAGGCGGTCCGCCGGGACGACGTCGATATCGTGCTAGCGGCGATCGTTGGCAGTGCGGGGCTCCGCAGCACCTGGGCGGCCCTGGATGCCGGAAAAACCGTGGCTTTGGCCAACAAAGAGACGCTGGTGATGGCCGGGTCGCTGGCCACCGAATTGGCCGCCGAGCGGGGTGCTAGCATCCTGCCGGTCGACAGCGAACACTGTGCGATCTTTCAGGCGCTGGACGCCGGTCGCAAGCAAGACGTGAAGCGGATTGTGCTGACTGCTAGCGGAGGGCCGTTCCGGAAATACTCCACCGACCAGCTTCAGCATGTGACGATTGAAGATGCCCTAAATCATCCCACGTGGGACATGGGGCCCAAGATCACGGTCGACTCGGCCACCATGATGAATAAGGCCCTGGAAGTGATCGAGGCCCGGTGGCTGTTCGATCTGCCGGTCGAGCAGATCGACGTGGTAATTCACCCGCAATCGGTCGTGCATTCGATGGTGGAATTCGTCGACGGCTCGGTGATTGCCCAGTTGAGCCCCCCGGACATGAAACTGCCGATTCAGTATGCGTTTAGCTATCCCGAGCGTTGGCCGGGGGTGGCCGAGCAACTGGATTGGTCGCAGGCCTTTCAGTTGGAGTTCGAACCCCCCGACTTCGAGCGTTTTGGCGCCCTACGGTTGGGGATGGAGGCTGCCGCTTCCGGCGGCACCAGTGGGGCGGTGCTAAACGCCGCCAACGAGGCTGCTGTGGCGGCCTTCCTGGCCGGAGAGCTGGCCTTTACCGAGATTGTGGCCGCCTGCCGTGGCGTGCTAGAACATCATGACTTCGATCCAAAACCTTCATTAGACACGTTGCTCGAGCTAGATCGCTGGGCGCGTAAGGAGATATCGCGGTGGGTGTGTACCTGATAGCTAACACCTTCCTGGGCAGTGCCATCTCAATCGTCGAGGTGGCCATTGCACTGGGCTTGGTGATCTTCGTTCATGAGCTGGGGCACTTTGCCGTAGCCAAGCTGTGCGGTGTGAAGTGCGAGAAGTTCTACCTTGGCTTCGACATCTACGGCCTGAAGCTGGCCAAGTTCACCTACGGCGAAACCGAATACGGCATCGGCATTCTGCCCTTGGGCGGATACGTGAAGATGCTGGGGCAGGAAGACAATCCAGCCCGGGTGGCCGAAGAATTGGAACGCGCGAAGATGGCGCATCAACCGGGTGCCGAGCATTCGAGTGATCCTCAGGCCGTCGCGGAAGAAGCCGAACGCGAACACCACTTGGCCGACGTTGGTGTGCAAGGGTTCGATGCCTCGGGTCAGCCGATCTACAACCCACGGAGTTATATGGCGAAGAGCGTCCCCCAGCGGATGGCCATCATTTCGGCCGGCGTGGTGATGAACGTGATCTTCGCCTTCATCGTGGCTTCGATCGCCTACTGGATTGGCATCGTGGGGCCCGACTATTCGCCGGTGATTGTTGGTGGAACTTCTCCCGGCAGTCCGGCGTGGCAGGCCGACCTGCGGGTGGACGACGAAGTGATCCAGATCGGCGGGGTGCAGAACCCCCAATTCCGCGAACTGCGCAATGCGGTGACCTTGGGTAATGTGGACACCGGCGTGGATGTCGAACTCAAGCGAGCCGACACCGGAACGGTCGAGACCCTCAATATCATTCCCGATTCTCTAGGACCGATCGCACTGATTGGTCTTTCGGGCCCCCGCACTTTGGAAGTTCTCGTTCCCGAGCGGGAAGGAGAATTCGACGGGGTTCAACTGCAGAGCACCCCGCCGCTGGAAGATGGCGATGAGATTGTTTCGGTGAATGGCCAGCCTGCGACGACCTTTGGCGACTTGAGTCGGGCGATGGCGTTGCATCCAGATGAACCGCTGAAACTGGAAGTGCTGCGAGGAAAAACGAAGAACAACGACGGCGAGAAGATCGCCGTGGAAGTAGCTCCCCGTCCGATGCGTACGCTGGGCCTTTCGATGCAGCTGGGCCCGATCACCGCGGTGCAGGCCGGTTCGCCCGCCGAAATCGCGGGACTGAAGCCGGGCGATCGCCTGCTGGAGATCGACGGCGAGCCGATTGAAGATCCGATTCGGCTGGCCGACGTGCTTCGCTCTAAGGCCGGGCAAACCGTCTCGCTCACAATCGAGCGGAAGGACGAGGAAGGCACGCAGACCATCGAGAATGTCGAGCTGCGACCCACGACCGAACTGGCGAGCATCAGCGACTTGCTGAACATGTCACTAATCAAGCAGGGACAACCCGTGGTGGTGCCTGCGTTGGGTGTGGCCTATCGAGTGTCGAACCAGGTTCAAGCAGTGGCTGCTGATGGTCCCGCGGCGGGCAAGGTTTCGCCTGGACAGAAGATCGTCGGGGCGAAGATCATTCCACCCAAGGATGCCAAGCCGGCGGGGCGGTTCGAGGAAATCGAGTTCCGATTCACCGAGGAAGACGAGCAGGCCAACTTCCCCACACTGCTGGCCGCCGTGCAGGAATTTCCTGCCGACTCAACCGTCGAATTGCAACTGAGCGACAGTTCGGAAGTGGCCGAAGTGGAGACAGTGACGCTCGGTTCTGAGCTGGCCAGCGATTGGTTCAATCCCGATCGGGCGCTGATCACCCAACCGATGGATGGGAAGCTGCGAGCCACTTCGATTGCCCAAGCCTTGGAACTGGGGGCATTGGAAACCAAAGATTCGCTGCTGATGGTCTTCAGCTTCTTACAGAAATTGGGCGGACAGATTTCCCCCCGCATGCTGGGCGGACCAGTCACCATCTTCAAGGTGGCCAAGCAACAAGCCGACGCGGGTCTCTCTGAGCTGCTGATCTTCGTGTGCATGCTTAGTGCGAACCTGGCGGTCATCAACTTCCTGCCGATCCCGGTGCTCGACGGTGGCCACATGGTGTTCCTGGCCTTGGAAGGCATCCGTGGAAAACCCGTGGGCGAACGGGTACTGGTGGCTTTCCAAACCGCCGGGTTCCTGTTCATCGTCAGCTTGATGGCGTTTGTGCTGGCCTTGGACTTCGGGCTGATTTCCCGGTTCAACTGATAGTCCATCGCGGAACGAGACTTTAAGCTAGCGGCTCGATCTGCTTCACCCCCGAGCCGTACCATGTCGCGTTTGACGTCTCCTGACGAAATCGAAGCCGTACTGTTCGACGCGGTGGGCACGTTGATTCGGCCTGCACGATCGATTGCGGAGACGTATGCTGAAATTGGACGGCGGCACGACGTCGACCTGCCCGAAGACGAGATCAACGCCCGATTTCGTAGGGCGTTTACCCAGCAAGAGCAACTGGACACTTCGGCTGATGGTGGGCAAACCAGCGAACCACGCGAGGTCGAGCGGTGGCGGACGATCGTGCGCGAAGTGTTCGAGCATCCAGGGAGTTTGGAGCCGCTATTCGCCGAGCTGTGGGACTACTTCAGCGACCCGGCGGCGTGGACTGTAGATGCAAGTGTGGCTGAAGTGGTGCGGCGAATTCGTCAGTCTTGCCGCAAGGTGGGGGTGGCTTCGAACTTTGATCATCGCTTGCGGTCGATCGCCAGTGCGGTGCCGGAGTTGCAGGACTGTCCGCTGTTCATTTCCTCAGAAGTTGGTTGGCGGAAGCCTCGCGAGGAATTCTATCGCTCGATCGAAGCAGAGCTGTCACTGCCGGCGTCGCGGCTGTTGATGGTAGGCGACGACCTGGTGAACGACTACCAGGGTGCAACGCAGGCCGGCTGGCAGGCCATCTTTCTACACCGTCGCGATCGCGGGAAGGCCGCCACGGCGGTGGATGGCGAAGCGACGGTTGAACCACGCGTGGATACCCTTGAGCAGACGCTGGCTTTGCTTGAGCTGTAAGTGGTGCTCGCAGTTTGCGGCGTTCGATCCGCAAGCAGTGATGTCGATGCGGAAGCGCATGGGCACCGAAGTCTTCCCAGAGCGCCCGTGGTGCCTGAGAAGGATGTCGATCTCGTGAATTCGCCTTGTGGCGTGTCTGGGGTTTCTGTATCTGTAGCCCTCCATTTCGGAAATCGACGGTGGTTCAACTTGTCGGAGTAGCTCGTCTTTTACTCCGCGGCTCTGTCGGTCGGTCGTGACCGCAGGCCAAACCACCTCGCGCGAGCATCTCATCAAGGAAGATACTTCATGCGTGGAGTTCGTCTCCGTCGCCAGGTAAGCGACCGCGCAGCGAAGGCGGTTTTGAGTATTCTGTTCATCGCTTGCGCGAGTAGCGTGAGCGTTGCGCAGATGCCCAATCCTCAAGCTGCATCGGCCACCCCGACCGCTCAAGAGATGATTAGCGACGTGCGGATCGTGGGTAACGAATCGATTCCGGTGGCAAAGATCAAACCGCACATTCGCACCCGTCCCGACCGACCTTTCGATATCGAACTGGTCGAGCAGGACGTGCGCAAGCTGAACGATACGCGGATGTTCGTGCATGTGCGTCCGTTGTACGACCGCACGCCCAACGGCGTGGTTGTCATCTTTGAGGTAAGGGAACGCCCCACCGTTCAATACATTCGCTACGTGGGCAACGATCGCATTAAAGACAAAGGGTTGGGAAAGAAAGTCGAACTGAAGGTCGGCGACTCGCTCGATCCGTTCTCCATTGACGAGGCCCGACGGCGTCTCGAAGACTTCTATCACGAGAAGGGCTTCCGCAAAGCTCGGGTCGAAGTGCAAGAAGGCGGACAGCTCACCGACAAAGGGGCCGTATTCAAGATTAATGAAGGTCCCCGCCAACGCGTGCGTTGGGTCTCTTTTGAAGGGAACTACATTGCTTCTGATTCGCGGTTAAAGACGCAGATTAAGTCGAAGCCGCCGATCGCCTACATCGTAAAAGGCTACTACGACGAAGAACAGATTGCCAGCGATGTCGACCGTTTGACCAAGTACTACCGCAGCCTGGGATTCTTTCAGGCCAAGGTGGGTCGCGAGGTTGAGTTCAATGAGAACGGGGAATGGGCTAACGTGACTTTCGTGATCGACGAAGGTCTGCGTTACAAAGTTCGCAACGTCTCGTTCATTGGTAATGAAGTACTCGGAGAAGATTTCCTGCGGACCGACATGGAGGTCGCCTCGGGAGAATTCTTCGACCAGGCATTGCTGAACAACGATATTGCCCGCATCCAAGATGAGTACGGCATTCGTGGCTACATCTATGCCGACACCAATGCCGACACCCGATTCTTAGAAGAGCCAGGCACGCTGGACATTGTGTATGTGATTGAAGAGGGTGAGCGGTTCCGCATCGGCGATGTGAATGTTCACATCGGGGGCGACAACCCGCATACCCGCATCACGACCATCATGAATCGCCTTTCGGTGCGGCCCGGCGATATTGCCAGCACGCGAGAGTTGCAAGACAGCGAGCGGCGGATCAAGGCGGCTCAGATCTTCAACACGAACCCGCAACAGGGCGGGTTACCGAAAGTTTCCTTCGGCACGCCGAACTTCGATGGCACGGAGACGGGGATCGCGAACCGTTCGGCGCCTTCGCCACGCGGTCAAAGCCCCGACCCGCCGCAGAGCCATGCTACGAATCGCCCGGCACCCGAAGAGCAGCCGAAGCGGATCAATGCGGGCCAATCGACCGATTCAACCCGCGGCCCCGTGGTTCGCGGTCAGTCGCCCGGCACGGGTCGCTTGATGCCCAGCCCGGCACCGTTGGTCCCCAACATGTCGACCAACACAGGTACCTATCCGCCGGCGGCGAACTACAACACCCCGCAGCAGCAATACACAACGCAGCAACCTGCTGCTCCACAACAGCAATACGTGCCACAGCAGCAGTATCCGCAACAACAGTACGCGCAGCCGCAGTATTCGGCTCCGCAAAACACAGGGCCTCCGAGTGCCCCGCCACCGGTGGTGACTTATCCGCCGGCGAATACTTCGGTGCAGACCGCTCCGCCGGCGAACGTCGCCCCGTGGAATGCGGGTCAGCCGCCGGCGAATCTTCCCCAGCAAGTGGGACCACCGCAGGGTGGCAACACCGGGTTTGGGGCACCTCCGCAGGTGACGTACCCGCCGGCGTATCCAGGGCCCGGTGGTGGCGGGCTGCCGCCTCCTTACTTCCAACGTGATGCTGCCCCGCAGGTGCAAACCTTGCCACGTGGTGGTGCGACGACCGAAGACGAGATCTTTCCGCCCGGGGGATACAACTACCTCGACCCCACGGTGGATATCGATGCGTACGCCGAAGAGACTCAGACCGGCCGGTTGATGTTCGGTGTGGGTATCAACTCCGACGCGGGTCTGGTCGGTAACATCGTGCTGGACGAGCAGAACTTCGACTTGTTCCGCCCGCCCACGAGTTGGGAAGACGTTCGCAACGGGTCGGCTTTCCGCGGTCGTGGCCAGCAGTTCCGTATTGAAGCTGTGCCCGGTACCGAATTGCAGCGGTACATGTTCAACTTCCGCGAGCCTTACCTGTTTGACACGCAGGTGCAGTTCGGCGTGAGTGCTTACCTGTTCGATCGCCGGTTCTTGAGCTGGGACGAACAACGCCTTGGCGGACGATTGACCTTGGGTTACCAGTTCGCCCCCGATCTCTCGGGTTCGGTATTCGTACGGGGTGAGCGGGTGAATATCAGCGATGTGGCAGTACCCACTCCGGCCGAATTGGCCGCGGCTGAAGGTGACAGCGACCTGTTCGTCGGTGGTGTCACTCTGGCGCATAACACTCGGGATAACAACTTCCTGCCGACCGAAGGTCACTTGATCGAACTGACGCTGGAACAAGCCTTCGGCACGTACGAGTTCCCGCGAGCCGGGGTCGATGCCCGGCAACACTTCCTGGTTCGCCAACGTCCTGATGGTTCCGGACGACACGTGCTCTCGTTCAGCGGTCGGCTTGGTTTCACGGGAAGTGACACGCCGATTTACGAGAACTACTTTGCTGGTGGTTTCTCGACCATCCGCGGTTTCGACTTCCGCGGTGCATCGCCGAATGAGTTGGGCGTGTATGTCGGTGGTGAGTTCCTGATGCTGGGTTCGGTCGAGTACCTGTTCCCGATCACGGCCAACGACATGCTTCGCGGTGTGGTCTTCTGCGACACCGGTACGGTCGAGGAGAGCATCGAGCTAAACTCGGAGAACTACCGTGTGGCCCCGGGTTTTGGTCTGCGGATTAGCGTTCCGGCGTTAGGTCCGGCACCCATCGCATTGGACTTGGCCTTCCCAGTCGCTCATGCCGACACGGACGATCTCCGCAACTTCAGCTTCTTCGTCGGCTTCGGACGATAAAGCACTTCGCAATCGCGAACGCGTTACCAGTAGTAACAACCGCCGTAGGAAACTGGTACTGCGGGGTTGTAGTACCAGTACGATGGCGCGGAGTACACGCCGTAAAGAGACAGCGGTGTGGTGTAGGCGTAGGGCCGTCGATAGTAGTACGCATTGTACGGCTGGTAAAAGCTCAGGCCACGGTAGACGTACGGCGAATACGAATAGGAATACGGATAGTACGACGGTCGGTATAACGACGTGTAACCGTAGCCGAGCGTCGATCCGCGGTAGAAATACGGGTTGCCATAGCGGTAGAAGCTATTGCCGCCGTAGTAGCCGCGATAGCCACCGTAGTAACGACCGCGATTGGCGTAGTAACCGGCGCCCGCTAGACGAATGGTGGGCGAACTTGAATCCTCGAGCACGGCTTGCTGGGCGGAAAGCGGTGAAGTCGTGGAAGCCTCACCGCTAGGCGGGGCGGCTTGGGCGGGAGCGGCCAAGAGTACTACGGCCAGCCCTAAGAAAACCACGGCACCCTGTCGAACGCGAGTGTTCAGGGACATCGCACCGCCCTCCCAATATCGATCCAAGGGATATTACCCTTGTTAATCGTATGGTGCGATTCGGCGAGGGGCAAGCAAGCTGGGACTGCTGTGCTACTGAAATCGCCCGCGTGGGCCAGGCCTAAACAAATGCCCTGCAGGCGCTTGCAGCGAGATTTGGAAAACCCCGGGTAGAAAGTCTACTACTTCGCCGCTGTCTCACGGGCCTGCCGTATGAGGCTCTGCACCTGATCCTGCAGCGCCAGACGCTCGCAGCTCCAATCGTGCTGCAGATGCTCGATGGCTCGCTGCTGCTCTTCGAGCTTGAACTGCCGGGCGGTGAGCGATTGGGTCCGCTGATCGAGTTCCTGGGTTCGCCGCTCGACCCAGGCCTGATGCTCGCGTTTCTTGTGGTCGAGCCGAGCGTGCTGCTCGACCAACTGGTCGCGAAGTACTTCGAGCTTCTGGCGGTGCTCGAGTAGTTCCTGCCGTACCTGGCGATCGTGATCGGCCAGTTGAGCGCGAATGTTCCCCAGCGAGGCGGTCAGGGCCGGTGCGGGGAACTTGGTGATGAGCTGATTCCACAACTCTTCGGTGGCCAGCCGCAGTTCGAGACTTTCACGCTGCGAACGGGTGAGTGTTTCGCGAAGCTGATCGAGGGCCGCCTGCCGGGCTTCCAGTTCGCTATCGCGTTTCTGGAACTTCTCCTGCATTTGCTCGCGGCGGAGTTCGAGTTGCTTTTCTTGCTTGAGAAGCTGCTGACGGTCGAGCCGCAGTTGGCGGAGCTGGGCATCGGCCCGATCTTTGAGCTGCTGTTCCAGGTCGCTCAAAGCTTCGCGACGCTTATCGATGAGCTCGAAGCCTACTTCGACGAGACGCTCTCTGCGTTCTAAGTCGAGCAGTCGTCCCGATGGGACATTCGATCGGTTGGGTTCTTCTGCTAGCAACCGCTTCCGCAAACCTTCAACTTCGGCGGCCTGTTGTTCGACGGCCTGACGGCGACGTTCGAGACCTTCCAGCCCCAGGCGAACCATCTGCAGCGATGACTCGCGACGGGCCTCGATCTGTTGAAGCTCGTGCGTTTTGGTGTTCTGGAATTGCTCGCGGGCCGAGTTGAGCTCGTCTGTCGCGGCGTCGAGAGCTGCTGCGCGACGGGCCAACTCGTGTTGCTGGCGGTCCAGTTCGGCTTGCCGCTGGTCGTGCAGGGCCTGTTGTTTCTGGGCGTATCGCTGAGCCTCGGTGTGGGACGACTCTTGAAAGGCTTCGGCCGCGGCAATCTGGGATTTGCGGTCTTCGATTGCGCGTTCGCGGCGAATCAGGTCCTTCTCGTGTTCGTCCAGCTCTTGCTGTCGCTCGACGAGCCACATTCGCAGCCCGCGGGCTTCGTTGTCCAGCTCGGCATCGCGGGCGTTCAGTCGCGATTCTCGCCGGTCGAGCTGATCGCGGCGTCGCTGGAGCTCGCCACCTAGCTGCTCGGCTTGTAGACGGAGTTGCTCGTAGAATTCTTCGGCCGGGGCAACGTCTTCAGCGGCAGGCGATGGGGCCGGCAGGGCGTCGGGTGTGGCAGGTGGCTCCTGACCGACAATGGGGTGCGCAGCATCAATGCGAGCCCCCGAAGGCATCGATGCCTTCGAGGCGGAAGCGGCCGCGTTTGACTGCTGGGATCGGGTGTGAGCCATAACCGCGTGTGAACTGGGAATAAGGTACCAGGGAGCCGTTGCACAGGACCGGCGCAATCGGCAAAGCTTTCCCAGTTCACTTCATCGGCAGACTCGCGGGCCGAGTTCAACGCAAAGCCACGAGTTCGATGCCCGCACGAAAGACAGCAGCCAGCATGCTAGCGCGCAGCGGGAGGGCTCATTTCCAACAGCCGGAAAACCTGGCCGGGGAATCCTTGAAACACCCCACTCTAGCAGTCGCTGGACCGCAGCTTAGGCCTTGGCCGAGTCAATCGCTTGTTGTAGCTCTCGTTTGTCTTTCAGACCGACAAACGTGTTAACCACTTCGCCACCCTTGAAGAGGATGAGCGTGGGGATGCTGCTTACGCCGTAAGCGGCGGCCGAGCTGGGGCTGTCGTCAACGTTCAGCTTGCCGATTTTCACCGAACCGGCGTTATCGGCGGCCAGCTCTTCGACCACGGGGGCAATCATGCGGCAAGGACCACACCAGGGAGCCCAGAAATCGACGAGAACGGGTTCGCTCGAACTAATTACTTCGGACTCGAAATTCTGATCAGTAAAGTCGGCTACGTTACCCATGACCCGTTCTCCTCTAATGTTCGTTTGATGCGCCGAATGCCGGCGCACCGCTTTTGGCAGGCTTAAAGAACTGGGCCCCAGGCCCAATCCACATTGATTCTCTCCGATTAGAGCTTCAGTCGCACCGCTATCGGCGGCTTTGAATTATATAGGCTTCTTGCTTGTGGGAAGCTGGCGGGAATCGGAGGCTGTAAGCATTTATCTCTTATTTTTGGCGAATTATAGGATGCCCCCTCAAGGTGTCAACGCGAGTCGACGCCCGCAAACCGGCGGCTGGGGATTCTTGCGGAATCTTCATCATGGCCTAGCTCGTTACAGGGCCTTCAGTTGCAAAGCGGTCGCCGGGTGCCTACCTTGTCGGCGGACCGCTCGTCGAATCGCCGAATGAAAGCTGGCGATGGCGGGAAAGAGCCCATCAGTTGCGAGTAATACCAGGGAGCCTGTCGGAAACTCCCATTCGAAGGGGGTTGGGGCCCTGTCACGCAGCCGAATGGTTATCAGCCACCCCAGGTGACGCACCATCTACAGCAAAGGTTTGCCATGGATATCTCCGATTTTCGCTGCTATCTCGTCACGCGAGATGAGAACAAGCAAGTCACCAATGCAATCGCCAAGCAGGGCATCGACGACCTGTTGCCCGGCGAGGTACTGATCCGCGCGGCCTATTCGTCGCTGAACTACAAAGACGCCCTGGCCGCCACGGGGCATCCGGGCGTGGTGCGTAATTTTCCCCACGTGCCAGGGATCGATGTCGCAGGCACCGTCGAACACAGCGGGGTCTCGGATTTCGCAGCCGGCGATAAGGTGCTGGTCACAGGGTTCGACTTGGGGGCGGCCTCCTGGGGTGGGTACTCCGAATTTGTCCGCGTGCCGGCCGGGTGGGTGGTGCGATTGCCCGAGGGGCTGACACTGCGGGAGAGCATGATCCTCGGCACCGCGGGCTTCACGGCAGCTCAATCGGTTCAGGCCTTGTTGCACAACGAAGTCGGACCCGAGGACGGCGAAGTGCTGGTCACGGGGGCCAGCGGCGGCGTGGGCTCGATGGCCGTGGCGATGTTAGCCAAGCTGGGCTTCAAGGTGGTGGCCGCTACGGGGAAGCCCGAGGGCGTGGAGTTGGTGGAGAAGTTGGGTGCTACACGTGTGATTGGCCGGGATGAGTTGGTCGATTCCAGCAGCCGACCGTTGCTTTCGGCTAAATGGACTGGCGTGATCGACACCGTGGGCGGTGACGTGCTGGCCACCGCGATTCGCTCGACTGACATCGGCGGCTGTGTGACCGCTTGTGGAATGGTGGCCGGGAACGACCTCTCGCTGAGCGTGTTCCCCTTCATCCTGCGAGGCGTAACTCTGGCGGGGATCGATTCGGCCAACTGTGCCATCGAGAAACGCCCCGAGTTGTGGGCCAACATGGCGGGCCCATGGCGTCCTACAGATCTCGAATCGATGGTTGCCGAGACCGTGACGCTGGATGCGTTGAATCCCGCGATTGAGAAGATCCTGAAGGCACAGGTTGCAGGGCGGACGCTGGTTGAAATCGGTGGTGAATAACACCGACCGCTCGTGGGTTTTCAACAAGCGTCAGTCGTAGCCGATCTCGGTCAGGTCGTCTTCGCTCATGCCGAAGTGGTGACCGACTTCGTGCAGGATGGTGAGCCGGATCTGCCGCCGCAGTTCATCGTCGTCGTGCCCGGCGATCGATTGGGCAAGTTCCATGATGCCCAGGCGGAAGATCGAAATCTTGTCGGGTAGATCGCCCGAGGAGCTAATGCTCCGCTCGTTGATCGGCACCCCGGTATACAAGCCGCAGAGTTCGCCCGGGTGATCGAGTTCCATCTCTCGCAACATGGCCGGCGAAGGTTGATCGTCAACAATCAGCGGTACGGTATCGAGCAGCTCGAGCACCGACGGGGGCAACTCGTCGAGCACTTCCTCGAGAAGCTTGTCGAAGTGATTGCGCCGTTTGTCATTCATGGTGGCCACGCGTGAAGTGCGAGGGTGCGGAGATCGTGTGCAGGAATTCTATCTTGCCGTGTCGTCGCGAAGGAGAAGCGTACTGATCGGGGCGTGCCGATCAGGGTTCGACCACTTCGGCGGGAGCCACAACCGGTGGCGGTGGATCGACGGTCGCCGTGTCGTTCAGGGCGTTGATCAGGGCCGGGATGGCGGGTGCCGCACCGGGACCAATTTGCCCCAACGCGCGAGCGGCTCCCCGACGCACGGCGACGCTTTCGTCTTGCAGCGCGGCGGTGAGCTGTGGCACGGCGCCTTCGGCCTCGGGCCCGATGAAGGCCAGCGCGGCGGTGACCTGCAGCCGGACTTCAGGGTTGGGGTTGCGTTGCAGTTCGAACGCCAACGGTTCGACCGCGGCAAAACCAATTCGGCCCAGGGCCATGGCGGCCATCTGGTTCACTGGTGGATCGACATCGGCCGGCGGGGCTCCAAAGTTGCTCATGCGGTTCAGTAGGGCCCGTTCGCGGCGGACCTCACGACGGGCCTCGTCGATCTTCTGCAGCGTGGGGGCTTCGAGTTCGGCTTCGGCCTCGCTGTCGGCGTGCATTTCTTGGGTGGCCAGCAACTCGCCGGCGAACCAGCCCACTCCGCCAACAGCACCGGCGACACATACAACTGCGATTACGGCTCGAATCATCGAAGCTCACCCTGACTTAAGAAACAGCCCCGGGAAGGCATTTCGCCCCCGTACTACGACTATTGCACACACAAGGATCGCAGGCAGGGGGGAGGTCACGCGGATGCCTCATCTCGAAACGAGACGAGATTGTTGCCAGAAAGCGACACACGACCCGTTTGCGCATCTCGCCCAACCGGCCCCCGACACACCATGCCAAGGATTGGCGTGACGTTGCAAGCTGTTATGGTTCTTGGCTTTAAGCCGAACACACACGACCATCAGCCATGCGATTCATCACCTATTGGCACAGGCGTTGCTTTCATAGGTATCTCAGTATTCGGCCGATCCCGCAGTCGACCGACTCCTCAATACGAGAATAGGAGTGACCCCAATGCCTGTGTTCGACTTCTTGATGATGATTGGTGGGATGGCATGGATGGCAACGATCGCCTTAGGCGTGGCCGTGCAACCGTGGCCCGGTCGCGGACCCAGTGGAAAGTAGTGTCCGAAATTGCGTGCAGTACGAGCAACTATCTCGCCCGTGCTGCTAACCGACAGGGGTGAATGAGGTCGACGGACCCGCGAAGACTTCTTCGCACAGAGAGAACGACGTCTCTCTGGACCTCACATCACCTACAGTTCTGACGACGTCGCCGAACTACTCCTCGTCCTTCGCTTCGTCTTTCTCTTCTGACGCTTCTTCCGCGGGCTCTTCTGCGAGCTTCTCGCCCTGTTTCAGGCAGTACAACGCGCGTTCGGTTCGCAGCAGCAGGCGATCGCCAACAATGGCCGGGGTGGCCAGGGCCATCGTCTCTTGGCCGAGTTCGTTGGTATGCAGAATTTCAAACTCGGGGCCGGCTTTCACCACGTAGGTGTTTCCCGACTCACCAAGGCAGAACACCTTGTCGTCGTAGCCCCAGGGTGAAGCCGTGAAGTGTCGCTCGGGCATGCGTTTCTTTTCGTAGGCCACCTCGCCCGTGCGGGCGTCGTAACAGGCCATGATGCCCTGATCGAGACACACATAGACATAGTCGCCGTAGACCAGGGGGCTGGTGTTGTAGGGAGCTGCCCGCGGTTGCCACCACTCGATGAACTCGCTGGTGTCATCCTCGTCTTCTAGTGTGATGTCGCCACTGGCGCCCGGCTTGATGGCGAACAACGGTCGCTTACGGTCGGCAACGTACCCACTCCCCACATACAGCAGCCCCGACTGCGACGAGGGCGTGCAGATGGTGATGCTGGAAGCCCCGCCCAATTCCCACAGCAATTCGCCCTCGAGATTGTAAGAACGAATACGGTTGCTGCCGGGGGTGATGATCTCGGTTCGCAGTTCGTTCTCCCAGACGAAGGGGGTGGACCAGTTGCTCTTCTCATCGCGGGGCACGCGCCACAGCTCCTCGCCGCTGTGAACGTCGAAGGCCGCCAGGAACGATTCGGCTTCGTTGTCGTTGCAGAGGTAGAGCCGATCTTTGTAGACGATGGGGGAAGCGCCAGCTCCCCAGCCAAGCCTGGTTTTGTAGGGGCCGATCATTTCTTTCCACAACGGCTCGCCGTCCATCGAGAAGCAGAACAGGCCGAGGTTGCCGAAGTAGACGTAGAGTCGTTCGCCGTCGGTCACGGGCGTGGCCGAGGCGTAGCTGTTCTTGCGATGCCGCGTAAAGGTGGGCAGCCCCTTGTGGACGGTGCGTTCCCACTCGATTTCGCCCGACTCCAGGTCGAGACAGAAGACCTTCCACTCGTGTTCGGCATCCGAAGGTTTCTCCTGTTCGCCGCCGAAGTAGAGACCCTTCTTGGGTTCGATCGAACTGCCGGTATCGACCACCGAGGTGAGAAACACGCGATCGCCCCAGACGATGGGCGACGACCATCCCATGCCGGGGATGTGGGTCTTCCAGGCGACGTTTTCGGTACCGGTCCAGGTGACCGGCAGATTCTCAGCGTTGCTTACACCACTGGAGCCAGGCCCCCGAAACTGCGGCCAAACCTCTTCAGCCCTGGCCATACTCAATGAAATCACCCCGATGCCCAACACGGCTACCAGTGCGCTTCGCATGAAATCCACCCTTCTCACCCAGTTATGTATGACTCCGAATCCGCCCTCATTCTAACACCCGAGGTGATCGTAGGGGTGGGACGATGGGGGGTCAAGGAAACGGCGGAACCCGAGAGCCAGCCCGGGCAGTGCATGTCCTTGGGTGGCCCGGCCGCGCCGGCCGGGTTGCCGCAGGCAACAGGATGTCTTGAGCAAGGCGTTGTATTAAAGAACCGGTGGGGTCCGGCTGGGGATTTCGCGCTACCGTCTTCGCCGCGAGGATCCACTTCTACCCTCGGTTCCCACCGCACTTCAGAGCATCTTGTCGACTTCGTCGACCCAGCCGGCGCGGCTGGGCCACCCGAGTTCTGGCGGATATCTAAGCCGGCTGTTCGTCAGGGTTGCGGGCCGGGACTTCTGCGGGTTCTGGGGTTTCTTCTTCTCCGTCGAACGGGCGGGCGACGGCTTTTACGGCGGCGAGGTTGCCGCGGAGGAAGTAAACCAGCATCGCGGGGAGGAAGATCAGGTCGCCGATGAGGGCGGCGAAGATGGCGATGCTGCCGAGCTTGGCAAAGATCTGGCTGGGCGGCATCTCGCTCATCGACACGCTGATAAACCCGACGAGAAGGACGACGGTGGTGGTGGCCAGCGCGGAACCGACGGCCATGAAGGTGCGCTTGATCGCCGCCGGCACATCGTTGTCGAACGCCAGCTCGCGTTGGAAGCGGTTGATGACGTGAATCGTGTCGTCGACCGCGATGCCGAGGCAGATGCTGAACACAATCACGCTGGTCAGTTCGAGTGGCCGCCCGACGATAACCAGGCAGGCGGCCGTGGCGGCCAGCGGAAACGCATTCGGCAGCAAACTAATCAGCCCCAGCTTCCACGAGCGGAACACCACGGTCATGGTGGCGAAGATCACCACGGTGGCCAGGCCCAGGCTTTTGGCCAGATCGGTGATCATCTGGTTGATGTTCCGACTGGCCACCACCACGGTGCCGGTGAGGTTAAGTTGCAAACCATCGTGGGCCGCTTGCAGTGCGGCGATCTTGTCTTCGACATCGTGAAACGTCGGTTCGTGAACTCCGGTGCCGACATCCTTCAGATAGAAAACCACCGCGGCACGGCGGCGGTCAGGCAACACGAAACGCCGGACGACTTCCGGGGGCACCACACCCAGCAAGGGCACGCGGGCCTGCAAGTTGCCCTCGGGGCCGGGGATCGATTCCAGCAGGTTGAGCACCGACATGGGATGGTTCGCCCCGGGGTGTTGCTCGACGTACTCTTGCACCTCGGCGATGGTGCCCAGCACTTCGTCGGAACCAATGTCGAGGTTCTCGTCCCAATCCACCAGCACCACGGCCGGCAGCATGCCGCCGAACTCGCGGTCGAGATGGAACAGGGCTTGGGCCGACTCGTTGTGCTCGGGAATGCTTTCGGTGAGCCGGTTGTTGGGCTCGAGCCGGGTAATCAGGCTGCCCAATACGGCCACCGATAGAACGCCAACGGCCGTGACGAATCCGGCGTGGGTGATGACCCAATCGATGGCCATTTCGGCCAGGCGGCGAATCCCCCCGGTGAACGACGTGACACCCTGCGAGATTGCCCCGCCGCGCGGGACATACGCCAGATGACGTCCAATCGGCGAGCTGGCCAGCAGCGGCACGAGAACAATCGTTGAGGTGAACGCCAAGACGGCCCCGCCGGCGCACACCATTCCCAATCTGCGAATGACTTCGACGTTGGTCACCATCAGCGAGGCGAAACCTACGGCCGTGGTGAAGGAGGTGAGGGCGCAGGCGATGCCCAGGTGTTCGATGGCGCTTTTGGCCGCGTCCATCGGCGACAGCCCGCGAGCCAGGGAGTGCCGCACATCGAACATGAGAT